GTTTGGAATCAGGGTTTTTGGCCAACTCCCCGAAGTGAACTACCAGTGATCCACCCGGCTATAGCCCCGTATATTGGCTTTTATCAAGTTAAGTCAAGAGTGCACTTTATTCATCCAATATGGACCGAATTTTCAGTGAAAAGAATGTTATCACTTTTGCTTTGGCACAAGCGCTAATAAAAATGAGCTTAAAAATACGATAAATGGTTACTGAGATGATAATGAATAGGACACCGAGAACGCGTAAAAAACAGAAAATTTCGACGTGAAAATTTGCAGTACACTGTTTGTAAGTTCGTTTGACATTCGCTCCGTAGAAACCAACAAACGTGAAAGGTAAGGTACAACTGAGTTGTGAAAAGCAGTGGTACGAGTATATCAAGTTTTAAATTTATTGCGGGTTACAGAAGTTAGGGTGGAACTAGATAGAGCTGTGTGTAAGGGATGTGACGCATCGGACAGGTTGGAGTCAAACAGACGCTCACACGCCTTAAGGTGTTGGTTGATCATGGAATCAACCAGCTCCTCATAAGATACAGCTCCATATCTAGAGCTGCTTTTCAGAGAGCGTCTGATTAATAAGAAATCCTTAGACAGTAGACCGGCAAGATAACGGGAGAGCACTGTCCAATTTCATAAAACGCACGAGAAAATAAATCTGGAGATGATATACAATGGCACCCTCAGATGTCGAAGGCGCAAAATATAAAAGGTCAACTTCGTGACTTCAAGAAGTGTTTGTACGTGATGGGGGGACCATTTGAGGTCAGCAAACATGAAACATCCATGGTATTAGAAGTGTTGTGATCTTTCAATTTTTAAGTTGTTGCTCAAGATATTGTGAACAGATGATCCAGAAAGAGTTGATGACCTGCGGTCAATGGAAACAAAACTTCAATGCATTTATTGGGGTTTAAATAAAGGTTAACACTATCGGACCATTCACAAGGGGGAACTTATGGGTGATTGAAGGGGGTTGGTTGAAGAGTTGTTGTTTTGAGATGCACCACCAACTACTGTCATTGGCATACTTAAAGGTGAAAACATTTGGGGTGAATGCTAAGTTTTGGATATAAAAGGGGATAAAATTGCACCCTGCATTATTACACCCTGGTCTAACAGTAACAGTAGAAGACCTAATACCATTGGGACAGGTGAATTGGCGTTGGTCGGTAAAATAATCGTGCATCCAATTCAAAAGATGTGGCGGGAGATTATGTTGCCGTAACAGTGTCAGTAGGATGTTTCTGTCGGCAGAGTTAAACTCGTTTGTGTAGTCCAAGAAACAAACATGAATAATTTTGTGTTCTTGGTCTATAGTGGATACAATGTATAAGATCATCAACCGCATCTAAAGTAGAGCGACGTTTACAATAAGCAAACTGATTAGAATCACGAAAATCAAGATTAGAGGATAGGTGCTTAATAATAAGACGCTCAAACGAGAATGAACCAGAGATGAATCGGCTGGGCTGTAGGTGAATTCTTTCCTGAGGGCAGCACACATCATAACTATTTGAGGTAATTGGTACGGTTCTCACAGAAGATTGAATTATCAGGATCGAAGAGTTGTTGTAAGTCCGTACCGCCAACCATGGATTTTAACTCCATCAAATTTATCAGATAATTTTGTCGTAAACGTATCTTACGTGCATCGTTCTTCACCAGGTGGGAAAACACCGCCTATTCGTGATGCTAGGGAAGGGTGACCAGCAGCAACCCACCTCCGATCATATTGATGCTTTCGTGGCCCCAAATGAGATTTGTAGTAAAACTAAAGGTGTTTTCTGGAAGTCAGTAGATGCATGTGCGCTATTGTTGGTCGACTCTCAGCCCGCAATCAGTCCAATTGATTCTTGATACTTCACTTCAAGTTTGACTCTGGTCACAGTGTCTGTCTTTCGACCACTGTGCCTTATTCCGTGCACGATGAAGATTGTTCTCAGCATAATATGCGTAGCACATGCCAGCACAGCCATTCATCCCCGATGATGATCAAGCGCTGGTATTTAGCATACGATTTGAATTGCTTATTCGTCTTCGTCCAGCCTTGACATCACTCACCCGGTGTCCCACCAAACTTGTGCAATTGTTGAAGCATTGTGATCCCTTTATCCATTTCATCAACATAGAAGAAAGAAGACAAATGTCGTGAGATGTTAACATTTCGTTTAATCTTCTCAGTAACTGACCTAGAACNGGCTTTATATATGTGCCTGTTTGTTTTCAGTCAGCAACTTCGAAGATGAAACGAAATGTTAACATCTCGCGACAGCTGTGCAATTCTGTTTGAGTACCGATTGCTTACATTCATCTTTCACACGAAACAGCTTTGTCTCCGCACCACACCATGGAACTGGTCAGACCACGGCAGCGTATAGTCGGCGTCCCAAACTGCTTTATATTCGCCCATCGAAGGTCACAGCGCCACTTGATTTGAGAAATAGTTGGTAAATGCCGTGTGACTGCGGGAGAGACAACATAGATATAATCATCTCTAGTCTTTAGGATAAGATTGGGGGCTGGAGCAGTTCACTTCTCTGATAGTATTTTAAACTATGAAGATGCAAAACGCATGCCACATCGCGAAGTTCTCTGCAAACCTTGACATCCTCTGGATCAGGTATCTTCAGTTCTATCTTATCACCTTTCCCGTTCGAAATGATCCCTATACAACCATGCGTCCCAACAGGCCCCCGCTGTGTAAACCCTCAGTCACGCATCGGAAGTAATACCATCAAAGTGAGTGGATAAAAGACACCATGCAAACTCGTCAGAATTTTCACGGACGACGAATTACTCCATCTCACACAGTTCAAAATGCACACGGTTGTGGAAGCTCACGGGGCTTGGTATAACCATGCCTTTGTGGGTTACACAAATATTTCGTGTGTTCCTCGCAAGCGGTCCGGAAAGATAAGCAGTTAGTTCAGAGGGATCAACTATTTGGTACAACTGACGTCAATCATGAGACTACTAAATGCGAGTCTATGGCGGGTTATATGTATGTCAGCGTTATTTACTTTGAACTCAACGTGTTACTTCATTCACAATAGATGAACTGCCCCGTCGATCAATAGTCCGTATTTCCTCGGTTCTTTATCGTACTGTCCATCCTTTTAGACTTCCACTTCATCAAGTTTGATGTGTAAAATTTTGATGTGTGGTTTTCCATTATACGAATTTGATTAGGATATCCAAGGTGAGATCGTATGTGACTGGTTAACTTTTCTCTTACACACGGCATACGCATTATATGCAAATGGTGCCAAAATGCACTTCCTGGACACACTTATATGAATGAAATGGAAAACCTTATCGCGTACGCATGCCTGATGAGCGATAAGAACCGCGAAACCAGTCGTGTGTGTCCCGCGGAAATTTTGTCGAGTCATTTAAATATTACCGATTGTGATATATATATATATATATATATATATATATATATATATCTGCACTGTATTTTGGCAGATTTAAGTTTTTATGTCGAGATTGTGATTCGAACCCACACTGGACGCCGCCTACGATTTTGTACAGCGCACGTTCTACCAGATGCGAGGCCACACCGATAGTGTTGATCTTTTCACATTCAATCTGCCAAACAACAAGTTGAACAGTTAACCTCACCTTAGAAGTTCATTCGGTGGACTCCGGTGAATTGTAAGGAGAACCTGTCGCAGCAGTCAGCTTACATACCAAATGGTGGATGCCGTACACCACAGTAAGTTGGATGGTTAATTCGACCGGATAGTATAGTGGTATCTATACAATCCAAGTCAGAAAAATTGCTGCTCAGGAACACAGAGTTCATTACTCTGATCAAAAGCCAACGCTGTTTCTCAAGTAATATCAGCTGCAAATTCTTAATGGAAAAGAAGCGATCCTAACAAACATAGATCACTTGGTCAATTTGGGTGGTAACAGATCTCAAAGTCGTAGTCAACTTTCCTCTTCTTATGCCCAATTTTTGTGTTTATGAAAATGGCATTGACAGTGCCTTCGTGGAGGGGTTCTGCCAGAGTCCGGTACAATCAGCTGCATAACAATTCACTCCGGAGTTATCAGGATTGAAATTGTGAGTCTACGAAGGAAACGTTTATCAATTCCACTGTAATCCGCTGCTGGGATGCTGCATCACCACTATATTGGATGGAACGAGTGTACCAACCGGCGAGGATACATTCAAACGCTAAATACGGTAGCGAATCTGGTGCACGAAATACTACGGAGTACAGTGCCTAGATTTCCGGTACATATTTTCGTAAACTGCGTTTAATTCACAACGCATTAGCTTCTTTGGGTTTTAATAATATAATAAATGTATGATAGCATATATATAATATGATACGAAGGATGTTTTGTCTTCATGCCTTCAAACTGTGCATCCATTTCGCTCTTGATAGATTTTTCCCGGATCCATGCAAGAGCAGCTTCCAAAATGGAATCTCTGCCCCAGTATATGGAACGCCTCAAAGCAGTCCGTCCACCGTTCGCCTCCCCACCCTATCCACCACCATCGCATCATGCTGATATCAAATCAACTCAATCAACCGCCAAGGCTACCACCAGACCGCTGTCTGATTTGTCCAATCGTGCTTCACCTCGATCGGGCACGAGACGGACCAATCAGTGTCCTATGGAAAGCAGCCTTATCAACTCCAAACCA